TATCTTGTCGCAACCAAACACCCGTTCAACAAGAACGTTGAGCACCGATCATTGCATATGGAGGAACATCCAACAGGACGCTCGTCAGTGGACCAAATACTGCCTCACTCGCTCAGCCGGCAAGGTCCACAAGCATGCGCGAAGTCCACAATCCTACTGCCTCCAACTCCAACAATCCCGTCTCAGCAGTTCCAATACCTGTCCCACCTCTACCCAAAACCCTGTTACTCTAAGGCCGGAGATTTACCTTGCCCTCCCAACTAGTTGTTTTTGTACCTTAACTGATTATCGAGCGTTTTCTTTATCTTTCAGCTCCCTACAAACACTCTAGGGGGGGGGGAGTATTGTGGGACACGTTATCGCTCTGTGCGTCATCGGATGCCTGCATGTCTGCTCGCCGTACAACTCTGTGTGCAGCGACCGTACAAACAGTGACCAATCATCAACCTCTGTTTAACCTAATCCCCCATCCTGATCATGAGTAGCTCCCTGTGTACACACATTATCCACAATATACTGACTGAATAAACGTGCTCCGTGCTACACACCTGTTTCCTTTATAGCTAGGCTATAGCTTAGCTAGGTCTGGGAGTCTAGCTAGATGTTGGAGAATCTGCCATAGAGGTTTCTGAGCCAGTCAGGATTTTCTAAGGTAGCAATCCGCCACAATCTAAAAGATTGAAGTAAGGGCAAATATTCGCATATGATGTTACGCCCATTGGCTGAGAAATTTCAGAATTTTGGTGTTAATACTTCATTAAAATTTTCTCATTTTAAGCCACTCAAAACTTTCCCCTTTCATTATTATTTCCTCGAAATGCACTACTGCATAAATATAAGTAGCTAAGCTGATCATTATTGTTAAATGACATTTTAGTATATTCATAAACTTAGTTGTATTATTTTTCGAATTTGTTAAAATCAGCATTCGAAACTCAAGAATGCTTCAAATTTCCTGTGATGACTCAAAAAAATTTAGTTAGATAGAAGCATGCGATTAAAGGAGACGGTATATGAGTCTAGTAATTTCACTGTGGTATCTTAGTGTTCGCATTTCATGAATTGGCTCCCAGCTTAATGGTGAGACAATGCCTACGTAATTCAGAACTTATTAACCGGCTAATCCACTTATATGCCTTTGTGTTTATTCGTGTCCAAGAGAGAGTTGAGATGAGGCAATGGTTACCAAGGTTCTCTCAGGGTTTAAAGTACAAGGTTATATTAATCAATGGTCAACAGAGACAAAGAAATCAAATCCCTATTAAAGAACTATTTAAATGTCATGAATATTTTATTTTAACATCCAAATATAGACAAGGCACTTAATAAGTGACTGAAATTGGTGCCAGCAGGAATATCAGACACACAGTGTGTACAGGGATCAAAGTTTAATTGTCTTTTCATCTCTAAACTTAACTTTTGACCCTCTACAGCTCTGGTTTTATATATAGGGTAAAATTGATTCTTTGGGTGTCTATTTTTGAGATTTACGATGAAAATAGGATTCGTATTCTTTCTCTGTGCACTAACTGGTCTCATCGCAGAAGCTCGTCGGGTTGAAAATCTCCCCCAGTTTTCTGAATCGCTGTTTGAACCCTCAGAACCAGCAGTTAAACAGGAACCAGTTGAAGAAAATGTTACACTAGAAGAGGCTGATGGGCATATTTCTACTGCAGAATTTGAGGAATCGACAACGGAGTCATCTTTTTATTCTTCTGAAACATCAACTCCTTTGGAGTCCCAAATCGACATGAATTCTGCTATTTCCTCGTCAGCGACAATTTCAACGATGGAGCCAATGATAACTTTAGCCTACACTGATGACTTCCACCCTGATCCCTTCCTAGCTGCTGCAATCAAAGCTGCTGAAAGTCCTATTTATCAAAGGATCCGAGAACCACCATCTGAAGGGTATAACTACGATTTTTTGCAGGAAATGTAATGCCCCCCCCCCCCCCCCCCCCCCCCGATTTTCTCGTATTAGCTTATTATAGAATTTGCTTTTCGATTTGAATTTTAGGTTATATTCTTAAAGATTACTTGCTGTGTCTTCACTCCCATAATTTGCATTAAAAAGTAATATATGGCTTTGGTTTTCTAAATTTGCGATATTAGTAAAATGGAGCCTGGGTATTAGCCAATACCGTAGATATAATTCTAAAATAATGGTTTATTATTTTCAAAAATCGGAAAGGTGTTTAAAAAAAATGGGTAGATACAGTCTAGCCAATTATTTTATTAACTCTTGCTGGAAAGTCTAACCGAGTAATTTGGCTGTACCAGAGTAAGCTTAACTGTCGATCATCTAATCCCTACACTTGTACCTGAGAATGTAATCTCGATACTACTCATTTAATAATTAAGTAGCCAACCAATCACTGCTTTATATATCATTATACACAGTCTCTCATTCCAAATTGGATAATTTAAGTCCTACTCGTGACGATTCTTAAAGGCCTCAATTCGCATCTTTCCATTTCGAGCAGTCTAGATCGTATCAGTGGTGTATCATTATTGCATAAACCCTTTCCACATTAGGTAAGTTCTATAGGCAAAATCAAGTGGTTACGATTAGACTGATTAGATTCGATCAAAAGTGGAAAAATGACAGGAAACGTTACGCTGGTGACTGATGGATATCTCAAAATGACTTATTGACCATTTGTTATCACATTACCATGACTTGTGATTGGAAATTTAAACTGGATAAGAAATAAAAGGATATTTGCACGATTTGCGTACTTATTACTAACGTATAATGCAATTATATAAATAATTATCAATGGAAAAGAGGCGATAGGACTTTCCTCTCCCCCCCTCACCCAGAAACGCCTCAATTACTGCCATTCTGCTTATGGAAAACTGCAACATCCTGACATATGAGTTTCCAAAACGCAACCGAAATCGAATATCAATCCCATTATCTAATTTTTAATTAGATCAAACTTATTTCTAAAAAAATTGTCAAAGCAATTGAATCTTCGAGCGATGGATCTTTTGACTTCTATTCCCGTACGTGGAAATAAAATAGACGAGGTGCTGTATAATTGAATGATCAATAAATCGATAACTCCCCAATATATGTGTATGGTTCGTAGAATCTACAAATCAGAACTCTGAAATAAGCGGCCCAATATATGATATGGTAATGAATAAGAATACAAACGAGGTGGGTATTATTTGATAGATATTAAAAGAAGCTATATACATAATAAAGCAAATGGAAATCAGGTATTATTCAACGCTCGTTAGACGCGATAGTGCATTAAAGAGAAGGACTTGATCTTGCTGGGACATATTCAGGGAGTATTCGAGGTTTAAAAAGAAGACATCGCAGGCGCGGATTCTATGCCAAGCAAGTTCCCACAGGAGGGGTCCATCCAACCAATCCAATAAAGAGATGTAATGGGACAGACCACTCTCCTCCAGCCATTTCTGTACTCTTTTGCAGTCCCATTCACGGATTGACGGAGAAGGCGTCTGGTAGGCAAGAAGCAGCTCCTGGTCGTCGGTTGAAGTTAGGTGTGAAGAACCATCGTCGAAATTACCAGCGAAGGCACTCCACACTGAAGAGGAGACCTGGGATGCACTGCAACTCCAGCTACGCAATCTTAAAGCTATAAAGTTGGGAAACGAAACGGTAAATAAAATTGCATATGCGCATGAAGCTAGTATAAGTAAAATTTTGATAAAAGCTTCCTTCCTTCTATGATCCAAGTTAAGGCAAAACAACTCATTATCTTAAGTTTAAGCGTCTAGCATAGCAAAAATTGTTATTATCAAATCAATAAAAACATGGAGTGAGTAATAAGCGCTTATAAGTCGCAAAGCTCTAACTCATTTTGAGAATAGAAGTGGCTCCATCCAATAAATTTCTCGAATGAACGTTTTCGTTTTACTAAACTATAAATTCTACAGAAATCATGCAAATTTCTTCCCACAAGCAAGCAAAAATGTTTACTTTGGCAATTAGATCATGTCGTCTAGGAGACAATTGACGTGTAAGTCAAGAAGTATCTATTAATAATTATTCAAGACGAAGGATAAAATTCTGACAACATCTACACAAAAAAGCGCTGATATTTCAATGGAAAGTAGCCTTGCCGCACTTTATACGAAGTTTCCTTACAATCGGTGAATTACAATCAGCACACATTTATTACCAATTCTAGAAAAGCTTTAGAAAGCGTATTAGATAAAAATGAGCCATTTTTGTGTAAAAAAATTAATTAACTAGAGGTATTCACAAAATGTGCATATTGATTAAGTTGCAGGTATGTTGCCTTGCATAACTTTGGAGAAAAGCCTATTATCAAGTAAATTTCCTCATTTGTGATCTGTGTGGCAACTTTAGAGGCTAATCAATCGGACTATAACGGTCCGAGATCGATTTCTGTTGGAATTGCCAGAATTCTGGAAGAAAATTGCCTATAAAGTTCTCCAAGCATTTCAATGTCCACTTACGTGACAAACTATAGGCACACTATACAGTGAAGAAATCAATTGCTAAAGTGCAGATATTGTTATGGCGCATTATCGACAGAGGTATGCTGATGGACGTTTGTTTTTAAAACTAGTGAATTACAATTTCATTGATCTGTAATAATGCGAGAAGAATAAAACTTGTCATTAGAGGTCCTTCTAAATTGCGTAAAATGCATGTTTCAGAAGTATAGATGATAAATGACATTGCGTAATTGTGAGATATATAGTGAAAGTGGCGCACTTAAAGGCATCTATTTGTACATACGTATGCAAAGTCATTTAAATTTTAGAAATGTTGAATGTGGTGAAGATAGGGATAACGTTAGGCAACGCTAGTGCGAATATCTGCTACTTTGAGTCCAAAAAGACTTGCACATATTGGAATAACTTTGTAGCATTCAGAAATCTACCGATTTAACTAAAAGCTAGTAAATAACTTATAGGTTTTAACTTGGTTATCGGCTCCAACTTCTTCAACTATTCAACGCTGTATCATTGAACTTGAGGCCTTGAACTCTACAAGACCGTTTTGGTGGTCTTGGCAATGACGTGAATAGGCTGATTTCCAGTAGACTACAAATCACCTGAGCTAACGGGCCACGTAAAGCCCTATTTGTGAGAATCACGTGATCAAGCACAATAGGAATGCAGTAAAAGTCCTATTTGACATGAATGTACAAATACTGCAAAAAGAAATGAGGCCAAAAGGGATATGGCGGAAAAAAAGAACTCACTATTTGAAAGTGGCGAGAACTGCAAGCTGTTGGAGATTGAAATGGAGGGACATTCGCTGGGGGTTGGAGTTGAATTATTACTAAATTCTAAAAATAGAGTAAATGCGTTTAATCACTCGAACAAAAATAGCCCCGTTCCGAATTAGATTGGTAAGATTAGCAACGAAATCACATGTTCATTCCGAACATAGGTGTATTGTCTATCGGCATTACTTAAAATAGCCAAAATGCTGATTAATTAGGCAGGATGATATAAATAGATAGGTAAATCGGAAAATCAATAGCTATAAATAGCGCGAAACACACCTATTCCTTACTCCGAAAGTTATTTCGAGGTTGAATGCGCAAAAGAGGTAGCTAAACAGACTCCCTGTAAATGGACGACCCTACGAACCAACTCCTCTTAGCAGCCCACTGTCCACAAAAAATGTAATTCTTCCATTTTCGCGTTTCCTTGCAAATAAATTAGTCCTATTTATTATTTATAAGTCAAAAAGGTAGATGAAAATTAAGGTGAGTACTGTGGAAGTAGTCGATTATGACATACAGTGGGGTGATGGAAGTTTGAAGTGAGAAGTCAACTGCCGGTTAATAGACTTTTTTGACGTATGAGTATACGTTGCTCTCTTTTACATCTTTGAAACTCTCTTCTGTTCCCCCTCTCTCGACTTTTTTCTTTTCTTTTTTATGCTTTGATGTTCCTCCTCCTCTGTGAAGCCTGAAGTCAACTAAAGAGCTAATAATAACTTTTACAACGCCTACCATTTGATATAAATATATTATTTATAAGTTAACTGGATTAGTGCATTTATTCAGTAGGAGACCTAGGTGGCACATTTTTTTCCTGTAAAAAAACCAAAATATGTAGACTTGTATGAATTTTAAATAGTGAAAAGGGCCCAATTAGGGACAAAATGAATTTCACCTGGCAACCATAAAATCGGCGTAATTTGGCACGAGAGGATGGTGGATGTTACTGAGATGACATTACCAATCCAAAAATTCTTATTGATTAATCGACTCTCACAGATAGACCGTAAATAATGATCACTCAGCATGAGGGCACTTTTGAAGGTGATGAGGGGATGGGGGTGTTCGTTATTTATGCACTTCCACGAGCCGACATTTCACAAAAGTCGAATTCAACTTACACATTCGGTCAAAGAAAATTAATACTTTGCACATAGGAGAGAGATGAAAAATCGAGTCTGGTGGTTTTGGCAATTTTTGGAAAAATTCTTCCATTTTATTTGTTTACACATGGAAATTACAGATTTCAACTGACACATTTTTGCCAGCAGTTCATGTCAAAGAGCTAGGTTTTGCAGTGACAAGCTTTGTTAAGAGTTTAAATTTCCTTTTATTTATTGTGATATTTCCAAGAGAAAGATGTAATTACCTCAAATTTAAGCCCCTGGATATAAATGACCCACAAATGCCACTGTCTTCACAATCACCAACTACAGAAACTCCATTTGAAACACAATTACCACTCAAGCATTTGTTGATTGGGACAGAAGCACCGTCTGGCATCATATTGGTATGCGTCTAAAAACAGTAGAACATGGAACATTTTGCTATGCTATATTGTTGTCGTTCAGATTATTGTAACATTTCCCTGATAATTTTGGTTAATATGCACGTTTTGTGTAAGCGAAGAATAAAATACTTCTTATATAAATCGGCAGCGCACATGATAACCAGCTTTGGACACANAATCTCTTCTCGATATATCCTCTTCTTCATATAATTCCAAAGAAGCTGGTTGATAGGGGTGTTTTAATCATAACAGAGCACGCAACAATTCAATCATATTAAAGTGGCACATTTCCAACTTATCGATAGCATTTTTTATGCAAGCACTTGATTGCACTTCACAAGCCTACAGGCTCACAGGCTTGGCCCCATGCAGAATCACTTTCTGCATTAATTTCTCCTATGAAAAAAGTTCATACACAATGTAAAAGTGTTGTGCTGGATAAACGTGAAAATAATACATTCCAAGAAGAAGTTGGCCGACTCGAATGTCGTCTTTCTAGTGTCAAAAACTAAGAAAAAAGTACGCACATTGTAGTTGTCTAAATGCTTGTACATTTGTCACAAGAATTACCAAAACAAGACTTTCGAGTAGGCTTTATCCCACGACTATTATTTGCAAAAAACTAAATCCAATAATTTGACATTTGCATTATAAGTAAGGCAATTCAAGGTACTATATTATTATGATGGTAGATATTAACGCAAGGTGGGGTGTGCGATAGACTTACCTCCACGTGGTGCACCCTGGGCAATGTATACTCATACGGCAAAAAAGTCTAGAAACTAGCAGTTGACTTCTCGCCTCAAACTACCATCGCCCCACTGTATGTCATATTTGACCCCCTTTCACAATACTCATCTTACCTTTACTCTGCTCTTTTGTCTGTCTCTGCCACATCCGTGAATCATTATTCTGTCCCCCCTCTCGACTTTTTGTCACTTTGATGTTCCTCCTCCTCTCTGTGAAGCCTGAAGTCAGCTAAATGGTTAATGATAACAATCAAAACGCCTGCCATTTGAAATAAATAAATAAATATATTAACGCAAGTTTTACAAATACGCCTAAAAAACACGATCTAACCTGCTAAAGGCGTTCAACTCCTTTCCCACACTCCCATGAGATAAAAAGTGAAATTAAGCTGGTTTAACTACTCCATTAATGTAAAACAATCAATTATGAGGAAAATACCGGAAGATCTCAACAAAAAAAATCGCACAATGTGACTTGGAGGCAAAGCCCAGGTTTCGCCATTAGGCATTTGCATTGCAAACTGAGTATGCAAATTTGACAAATCTCCTTCCACCGTTCCCCCACCCAAAATGTGGAAAGATATCCTTCTCATATTCGGCTTGCCCCTAATTGAAAGCTAAGTTTAATAGGTGAAAAGCGAATTATCAAGAAAATTAATAGGCACTATCATTGAATTCGTGCAAATGGAGGTGGAATTTATGGGCCTTTCTAAGTAAGGATATCATTCTTCATCATTCAAACGCTTTTTGAGATGCAAATGTCTTCGATGTTCAATCATTTAAGCATAAAATAGATGCATAATTTTTCGCAATACGAATGGCCATTCTAAGAGAATGATACGGAAAATTTACAAGTGAATAAAATTTCATTTCAACTGAATGCAGAAGAAGTTTTAAATTTAAATAACAAGGAAATTTAAGAATTTCCTTCATTAAAGTAGCTTTGAGATTTCACAAAAACCCAATTATATTTCACAAGTATGACGGAACGGTTCATAGAAAAGTACACTCTTATTACAACTTGATTTGCGTAAGTAAAAACTAAATTCAGCTATATAAGTCATCCTGAATTTAAAGAAAGATATGGAAAAAATACCAGCTTATTAAAAATAAACAGAAATCGACTCAAGGAAGAAGCATACCCAAGTGATCAGGTTCTGAGTAAACATTATATCCGCGTCGTTTTAATGACATCATAATGTGGTTCACACTTTGCCGATAAGTTCTATTGCAGGCGAAGACAATGTGACCATAAGGATTTCCAGTAGCTGAAAGGGGTTTAAATTTGATATATGGAAATTCAAAATTAGTCACAGATTTGGAAAGGGTCCAGAGTAAACCCTCTACAGTTTCACGACAAGTTGTTGAATTACTCTTTTCACCAAATTCTCGACAGAGAGTAAGAAGTGAGGGATAAAGCTGAAGTTGTTCCAAGGTTTCTGATAGGAAACAAAGTTGCCATAGCAACCGAATAACCTCAGTCGCTAGAGTGTCCGAATCGGTATTTGGAATAGGGGATTTGAGAATATTGCACTTCTTTGAGTTGGGAAGATCTTTTGCTATTTGAAGTATTGTTAGAATATCATCAAGTATATGGTTTTCCAATAGAATTCGCTTGTTTACATCAAATCGGATAATTCGATTGAGGCCATAGAGCAATTGAAGGAGGTGGTATTTATGAATTGGGGAGTATAAATCTGCCGCTTTAAGTGCGACTCTCACAGCACCGAGGAGATATTCGACATAATTATCGGATTTGTTGATTGATTTATTCTCAGTTTCATCAACAATCCGGACGAGGAGAAGAAGGGCGCACATTTTTAAATATTCTGATTGGCTGCGTGATTTCCTAAAGTTACAGTTCGTAAGAAAGGGGAGCAATATATGAACGCCGTTGTGACTCCGATAGCTATCCACCGAAACTTGTGTATTAGAGAGAATATGGAGAAGAATTCCAAAAGACCAGCAAACCAGTAACTTTGTCGCGGATTTCTGGACACATTTTGTGGCAAGAAGAGCCCTGCATGAAACGAAACGCCAGAGAGAATCATGAACATAGTGTTTGCTTAGTCTTTTACAGACCCAATATCCCGTTGCGTTATGAAGCCTGCATATATTCCATAAGGAAGCATGTAGTTTGGAAAAACTCATAGATTCTGCCGACTGATAGCTGGCCAGGACACATAATTTCGGCTCCAAAACAAAATACTCAAGACACTGCTTATAATAATTAATAAAAGCTTCATCACCATATATCTTTACAAGTCTTGAAGCTGGATTTTTGCAAGCAAGTTTATCCGTTTGTTCACGTAATGTCGTAAATAGATTTAGCGTAGATGCCAAGTGTAGATTATCACTAGGATGAGCTGATAAGACGGCGTTGAGGTCTTTAAGTATCTCATCATATGTATCGATTTTTGTTTCGAACATCAAAGAGAAAAAGGATTAAAATAATATACACAACATGAACACTCCGAGGTTAAATGTAATTAAGGCCAGCGCTGACATTCGGGGCTGACCTTACTCTTATGTAAATAAATCCAATAACTAATTAATCACATCCTAGAATTTTATGAAAATTATCACACATATTTAACCAGATTACGCCTCTTTAATTCATAAATTAACGAAATGAATTACTATATGTGAATTGCTTTAATATTTTTTTCTCTCGAGAAAAATAAAGAACATTATGTCGCTTTAATGCCGTATAAAGGCTGCTATAGCCATAAAAGCATTTTGAAATATGTGAGTATTTTCTACGTGTCTAAAATATACCATGCGAATTCGACATGGGCATTCTGCGGTAGATGCAGAAAAATTACTATTATTAAAGAAAATTTTAATTTGATTGACTAAAATTATTCATTTTTTGAAAGAACAGTTTTGGGTTAAAGAGATGGGGTCAGTTTTATTTGCTATCATATCTAATAGTCATTATATGGGATAATTTTTTTCATTTTATTGTAAATAAGAAACTTTATGGTTGCTTGAAAATTGCTTTTTAAATTCAATTTCACATTATCCAATACAATTTGTATGAAAAGGAGGCTAAGATAAAAGATGCAATTTTTTATCATTCATTTTTTGCTTTGCGATTTTTACTGATCTTTCACTTGACACCAAATAGAATTTCAATTAATTACTGAAGCATATTTAATGAATTTTTGTTTTAGGCAGATACATTAACTCAAACTTCTCTTAAGATAATAAAATACATGTGTCATTTATTGGTATTCACTGTACAACCCTATTTAGGAGATTTATCGCTCTAATTTGCAGCCTCTGCATGCAACCGCAAAATGTGGTTGACATTACATGATAGCCAACACACGAAAATCGTAGAAATGTTAAGATTTCGACCACTGCATTAAGCTGGCTGTCCAGAAATAGACGCATGTAAGTGAGTGCATGCTTGCATCCTACGACGAGTCATGACTTGCGTCCTATAAATTAAAAGCATTTGTGTTGTTATTTTAGTGCTAGTTGAGTATGAGCATAAAATCACAGAAGAGATATGTAAGTTACATTTGATTCTCATCAATTTTGAACATATATAAAGAGATGAACAAGTATGCATGAGCGATGCACACAAGTAAGAATACGTAAAATAGACATAATATGCTAGTTCAATAAGTAAGTTTAATAGTTTATAAGTAAGTTTTTAAAAATTACTAAATCACTACAATAATGATTTAGTAAATGATTTTATTTAAGTAGAATTTTTACTTGTAGCCCCATGGTCTTTTACTTTAAATGTTTCACGAATTACATTTTATGAATACGTCTGTATTTATTTGCTCAATTTTCAATAATAAATATTGTACAATTTCAATATTTTATATGATAAAGTTTCATACATTTGAAGGTAACAGTTTTATAAGTTATTAAAACAGGGCTGTCCCCTAATTGGTTACTCTTCACATATGACCCCGAAGGTAATATGGCTGTCCCTTTAACTCATTTGCTAACGATTAGAACTGGCTCATATTCATATCTAACAGTTTAACATCGGTCATTATCAATTTCCTTTATCCGAATCTGGTAAGTTGATGTCAGATTTATTTGAAACTATTTTAAGTTTTAGTGATACAAACATACAATTGGTTTTGTTTATCTCGAGTTCTGGTTCTTTACAATGAGCTTATTAGTTTTCCTAAGTCGATTCTTAAGTAAAACAAGATTTTTCTATTATTGTTCTAATTAGCTATTCAATATTTCAAAAACCGTTTGTGACATTTTCAGTTTTCCTAACAATTTATGACATAATTCAATGGGTATGGTATTAGCGTATTGTGTCCTATTTTACACAGCCGATGAATTCTACTAAATTCGCATAAGAATAAGTTATTACTTGATCCAATGTGCGGCATACTTGTACGAATATCCATCTTATACTTTCTGCTTAATTTCCAGTTTGGACGAATTCATGCTTTTTAAAAGTACCTTTCGAGTAGTTTGTGATTGATTATATATTTATTTATTTATATCAAATGGCAGGCGTTTTGATAGTTATCATTAGCCCTTTAGTTGACTTCAGGCTTCATAGAGGGGAGGAA